CCCCTTTTTTCCCCCCCTTTTTTCCCTTGTAACAAATCCACACACCCTAAAATCCCAGATCTATTTTAAGTCTTCATTTTAAAATGGTCCACAAAGAAATATATATATATTTACTGACAACAGTATGTGGGTGTCCATTTCTCAGTGATTTCTTTTGGAAGTTGTACTTCAATTATTATATTATTTTCCCACTGTCTCTTCATTTCAGTAAAAATTAATTACCATTACGTTTATAGGCGAAAGTTTCCACTGTCAGTTTCAAAAGCTGTGTAATAGTTAATTGATCCTTAAATTCTTCACTATGTTCTTGTGCTCTCTAGGTGGTATTACTGTAACTCCAAAAGGCTTCTGAAAAGTCCCAGTTCTGTTTGGAAGTATCATGCTTCATGAACTGGAGTTGATATGATTTACTAGCAGAAGAAAAGGAAAGAGATTATCTTAAGTATCAGTATTTTGAGTCAGACAAATGTTGACAAGCAAAAAACCCTAAAAAATTCTATTGTAGCTCTGTTGCTTGCTCTAAGTTATCTTTGACTTTGCTGGGAATTAAAGAACAACTTTGCATGTTCTTGTTTGGGGTTTTGGTGGGGTTTAAGTGTATGAATCAAGAATATACAGTAGATTTATCTGGACTCTTTGCTTTGGTAGAATGTAGAATGTGTCAAATATTCACACATACATCAGTCCCTTTGAAGATTTGACCCATATTTACCACTTATTTGTGTCTTTTCTGCATCTATTAACACTAACAGAAAATCTAGCTAAAATCATGTAGCTTTTTGCAGAAAGGTATCGTCTTCCATTCCCAGACGTAAATCAAGTTCACTCCTTAGGAGAGAAAAAAATTGCCTCTAGCACTTAAAATTCTTATGTCATCTTCATAGCTAAGAATTAATTATGTTTGCAGGGCAAGCAGCAAAATGCAGTGATAATCAGCTGAAAAAAATGGGACTACACTTAATATATGTGGACATGGTATTAGAAAGCAGTCAGCAGTTGTCTTTGGCTTTCTGGATGTTTGATTTAAACTCTCTTCTTGCAAGATTATTTTATTTTGTAAAACAGTAATAAGACCAGTTGTTAACAGTTCCCAAGGGGACTTGAAGGTATCTGGAAATTACAGCAGGGTAATTATGTTTTTATCCACAGACTACAGTGGGAACAGTCACTAAAGAAAAGTAACTCTAGATGCATTAAGTTTTCCCATTAACATTAATTGAATAGAATTAAATACCACTTTCTTGCATGAATTCATGAGAAATATATTACTTTAAGCTGCACTCTGTTTCTTTAACTTCATACTCATAACCTCTTTAGTTGACTTTTATTACTTAGTTTCCTTTATCTATTTTAATGTTTGGGATTTTTTCCATTTCCTTACTTCTCTTTCCTCTTTTATTCTTCCCTCATCCTATTTACTACAGGAGAATCAACGTATGCAGGAGAATATAGACTCCATAACCAAAGAAGTATTTGATCTTCAGGAGACAATTAATTGGAAAGATAAAAAAATAGGGGTATGAATCAAATATGGGAGGAAAGGTATTTCTTTAATTTAGAAGTAGATGGATGCCCTCTGCACCCCAAGGAATGCTGTATACTCCAAAGAAATGAAGGTCACTCCCAACTTAAATGTATAAAATGTTTTGCAGCCTTTTTTTTTCTTCAGAAATGAGCTACATTTACTTTTACTTGGATTATGATAAGTAATACTAATTAAATCTGAACTGTTGCACATACAATTTTATAATTTTTTGCAAAATATTTCATGTGTGCCTAGAGCCAAATGATATGATCTTGAAATGACTTCTGTAACCAACTGCACATTCCTGTTTTACGCTTCCGATCCTTGCAGGATTGGTTACCTTGGATGCAACACTGAACCAAACTGGTTTTGTGATATGATGCAGGAAATACTTTAGGAATTGAAAGTTGTAATTGAAACAATGTTTTTGGGTGATCTTTTGAGGAGCATATGTGGGGTTCCTGTACAGGAAGAAAAGTGGTACAGGAAGAACTGTGCTGATACTATGCAGCTCATGTAGGTCAGACAGGGTTTATCAGCTTTGCTTCTGGGCAGTACCAAAGTCATAGAACTGAATCAGCCTGACCCTTGGTGATCACTACATGGCTCTGAACTTGTGGCTGTTCTGGGACACATGTAGATTGCGTGGTGGCAATTGGGAGTTAAGTGGAAGTGCTTTAAAAAGGAATTGTCTGCCTCTTAACAGCTCTGGGATAATTTTTCTCTACCTAAATTTTACACTGTATTTCAATATAGGCAGATTTCTTTGAAAATTGTTTTATTTGTTGGAGTTCAAGTCACTTTGAAAAGTTACCTTTTAACTGATGATGCCCAGTTCAAAAGTTAAGCTGTCTTGTACTTATTTCATGTTACAGTCTTCCTTTTTCATCATTAAAAAATTTTTAAAGTTTTCTGAATATTCTTCTGGAAGCTTTTTATCTTTAATTTACCCTATTCTTTTCACATTTATTTCTCACATTTGTATACTGGCCTGTTTCAATTTGTGCAATATTTTGTACTCTTTCAAACATATTGCCAGAGTTAGTACAAGCATATTGCAATGACAAGGAAGATAAATATATTTTCCTTTAGCCAAAATTGCCCTTCCAGTTTGTGTTCCTATAAATGCCATAACTGGTTATTTTTCTAGTTAGTTTTTAACTCTCGGAATTGAAATCTCTTAGTTTTGAAAATGTAAATTGCTGCTCTTCCTCATGTTTATAAACACATACTTTTTCTTAGCTCATAGTTTTTGAGCCTTTCTCCCTAACACTGAGCAGCTTTGCTAATTTTTACTCTGTTCCAGCTTTAGAAGGCTCTGAAAAGCTTTACAAAATAGTTTATAATTAGAATTATAACCTTATTTTACAATGTATACAAGACATTTTGGCTGTTTCAGAGAAAGAAAGGGAGGCAAACAACAAAAATAGTGCAAGTTTGTTTTACCCTTGCCTTATTGTGCTGTCCTGTTTTTACAGTGATTCTGAAGACACTGARTTATAGCTTTGGGTTATATTCCTGAAATATATAGTTATTTTACTGTTTACTGGCTCTGAAATTTAAATTAGTAATGGCAACTCTGAGTTTGGTATAGATTTCATGAAGGCATTTGGAATATTTAGAAAAGAGGACCCCAGACATATCTGCATTGTGTCATATGATCAGATTTTGTCCATACCAGTGTATTAAAACATGCCTGCAAAGCTTTGTTCTGATTTCTGTCCCCTGCCCCAACAGAAGAATTGCAGAAATAGATTTTATACAAAATCCATGTTCATACTAAATTAAAACCTGAACATACAAACTCTAGGATTTTTACTGAAGTTTTGAGTAATGATTACTAAGCTCTACATAGGGGGAATTACATAGTTGTATCAGTTTCCCATCCGTCCCCATCAGAATTTTCTGATTTCCAATGCTTGTGGGGGTGAGGATAGAAAATATGTTTGGGGAAGATCAGCATCATCACAGGACACTGTCAAGTACACACCATGTGTTTGTGATTCTGAGCCTCTGTATCCATTCTCTTAAGAGGACAGCTTACTTCCCCTTCCATCTCTGCCAGTATTCTTCAAAAATTAAAAAGATATATGTATCTTTTAAGTAGAGCATAAAATGTAATGAATAAGGTTCTCATAAATTTAGTGCAACAGCACTTGTTAAACTTTTCTGTTGAAACTGAGTTAAAACATTGCTCTACTGTACAGATTTCTAGATGATCATTAAAATTCAGCATACTGAAGTTATGTGGTAAAGTAAAGTACAGAAGTATATACTTTCATTGCTTTCTTGGTATCAGTCCATTCCTATGCATTCATGCATACAACGTAAGATTTAGTTGTATCATTTTCTTGGCAAAGATATGTGTATACTTTTGCAGTTATTGTATGGTGAGGATTATTTGTAATGCATGCAGTATTTAATGCTGTCCAGTCAAGTGAAAGTGTCTGACTAATTGCGAGGTAACACCACTCCAGCATAGACAAGGAAACCTCTTTACATCCATAATGCACTTTTAGCTGTTGTACCTTTTTGTGCTAAAATAGTGCTACTAGTGTTTGCTGCTTTTTTTTTTTCTTCTAAAACTGGTTGCTTTGGGTTTAGCAAATGGTATTGTAACTCATAAGCAACTAGTAAATAAATTAGTATTTGTGAGTGGGTACATTTAAGGTCTTCTATAATGTATGCATTCTACTTCTGTATCTTATAAAAGGCAGAGAAATTAGTTCAGTGGATGTAATGTTTTAGATCTTCATCACTTGAATTTCAGCAGATTTTATTTCTTGCTGCAGAGTACCTGTATGAATAAGAATGCCTTACTCTGGTACTCAGCTTATCAAAATTTACCAACAAATAGAATTCACTAAATAAAAATCTCTCAAAAAATCTGCTAAGGCTTGACTGAAAAAATAGTCATGACAAAGGCAGCATCAAGCTACAAGGCAGTTACCAGAGATGTATGCTAATACCTATAAATACATATTTTTAAAGCATTTTTAATTTCTTTACTTTTATTGAGCTCTTTATATTTACTTGTGGAAAATCTTTCTGCTATCTGTCATGCTTTTTTTCTCTGTACCATTCTTTTTCTTGCTATCTGCCTGAGCCCAGGCCCTAGAAAGACAGAAAGATTACTTTGACTGCATTAAGAATGAGCGAGATGAGCTCAGAGAGGAGTTGGCTGACCTGAAGGAAACAATGAAGAGAGGACAGGTATGTTGGTAGTAGTTACTTTACAGTAACTGAAATCCAGGCATGAAACTGAGGTCAGTAAAAGAGAGGAAGAATGGTTACTATTCTTGTGCAGTCTGAAAACCTGACCTTAGGATAGGAATAAATGATCCCTATCATTTTAACTGATTCAATGAAGTTGAAAAGCTCTTAAAAAACTTTTCCGTTTATTTATATTTTAGCACTTCTGTTGTATGATTAGTTTATTTTTTCTTTTGCATTTTTAGAAACATGGATTAGTTATAATTCCCGATGGCACACCAAATGGTGATGTAAACCATGAATCAGTGGTTGGTGCAATAACAGTTGTGTCACAGGAAGCTGCTCAGGTCTTGGAATCTGCTGGAGAAGGACCACTAGGTAAAAATACCCTGGCATACTTTATAGAGTTTTTGTCCTTTGATTCCTCTCATTCACAGTGGGTGTGATTTATAGCTGCAGATGCAGGCACCTGTGATGCCTCTGGAATATATGCTTACATAATTTTCAGGATTGATTTTAGTTCTGATTGCTTGTTCTGAGTAAAAAGACAGATGAATCTTTTGAGTGAGAAAAAATAAAGTGTGCTTGGATTTTTGAAACTGATTCATTCTCTTGGTCCAGTTTCTGTTTTAATACTGTCAGAAAACATCTTGCTTAAAAGTGTAATCTTTTTGATTAGTATGTTTTCCATTGTGTTTCATGAAAATTATTCTTTAGAAGTTTGTGTAATCAATGAAGGAACATCAAGTGYAGTGTTCCACCACATTCATTAGAAAAAGAAGTTTTAAAAACATTAAAAATGTGGCAGGGACAACAGAGACACTAATTGAGAAGTTGAGGGTTAAGTTACTTGCTTTTATTTGTAGGCTGAGCAAGTTGTTGTATGCAATGTCAATCCACTGTAAAACTCTGTTAGCGAGTAACAAACCTTCTCTGTATACTTAGATTATACTTATACATAATATGTATAGTTATGTGTTTTTGTATTGACAGAAATTAGATTTGATGCATATTTTTGCTATGACTCCCTCACASGGAAATGCAAATGTCATTATGCTTCATTTCAATCAAAGTTAAAATTTCTAAGGGAGTTGCTCTAGTCTTAGTGTAGTGTTGCCTGTTTTGTAGCCATCTTGATTTTCAAAGTAGACATATTGCTGCATTCCTGTGGGTCCTTTCCCAGGTACTTTTTTGTTGTTTGGGAATACTTTTTGCAAACTTTCTGAACATGTGGGGATGCTTAGTGGCTTCTCTGAAGAGACAACAACCTTCAAATGAGCCAAAGAAAAGAATACACAATCAGAAGAAAATTCCATTGGAAACTGGGTCAAAATTGATTTCGTATTAAAAATCCTCAGTTGTTAATTTGCTTTGAAGATTTACTAAACTCTGAGGTCTTGCTTTCAGAATTGTTATTCTAATACAGTGTGAATAAAATACTTTTCCCTTTTTTCTGCTATTAACTGAAGGTGGTTGTGTTATTTGTGAATATCAAAGTTTTATGGTCCCAGTGCTATTTGCTTTGATGAGCATTTCATTTGAAATTGAGCATGAAGTTATGAAAAACATATTCATAGTTACAGATTTATCTGATTTTTAATTGGGTTCTTTGGTTTTAGATATCAGGCTACAAAAACTGGCTGGAGAAAAGGAGGAATTACTGTCCCAGGTAAAATAAGTTATTCATTTCAGAAATAGACCTTTGTGTATCACTTTGCAGAGTATTTATATATAAGTAATAAACGAATGTTAAGTACCAGAGGTGCTTAATCACATACATAAGCACTAAAGCAAAATAAGATACTCAACTATTTACCTCACTGACTACCAGGAATTTGCAGTTCCTCTTGCTAGTGTCCTTATCCATGGGACTTTGATCTTGGTTGGTAAAGAAAACTGGTTAGCTGAAATCTAACTTGCTCCTGATCCTACTATTAGTGCACTTACTTCTCTTCCTTTTATTTTGTCTTATGCAGAAATACTAAAGTCAGTAAAATTACATTCTCATATGCTCAAGTGGAATTTTCTTGTTTCATAAAATTGCTGAGTGATACCATTTCACTGAACATTTTAGTTACTCAAAGAGAAAATTAATATTATCAGTCATTGTGTTTAAATACAGCTGTTTTGAGAAGAAAGAACTCATGCGAACATATGACCATTGAGCAATTGCTAAGAATGCTATAGTTTTTGCCCTTCTAGATGAAGGCATTACAGATTTAAACAATTGTTGTCAACATTTGTTTTTGCTGTGAATGTTCCTTAATTATAGTATAGATACGTGTTAGGAATACCAATAAATTATAGTATTAAATATATATAAATATGAACGCACATTTATCCCTGTATAATTTAATAATCACTGATCATATATTTGATTTCTATCATGAATGTGGGTTTTTGCTAGTTAACTCACCTACTTCTAATCTGTAGGGCAATATTTTTATAGGAGTGTCAAGAAAGTAGCTCGTACTTCTTTCATAATGTCCATATACAGAGGACATTAGCTGAGAAATCTATGTTCCCTGACTACTGGAAAAATATAGAGACAGCTGCTGTAGCATGAAATGGAACTGTTAAAGAACTAATGTGCTCTACAGATTTGCCTAGGACCACTGTTTCCATGTGGTGTATGAGAGACGACCCCCTTAAAAAGCTGCAGATTATTCTCTCTGTAAAATCACTAGGATATTGTTCTATATCTTCGTGTGTGTTTAGAGTGGAAAAGACATGCAGTAGAAGAAATTTATAAACATAAATAGTGTATAATACCATCTCCTCTTCTGAAAAGTGAGCTCTGTTAGTTACTGGGTGTTCCTGCAGTGTGCAGATAACCCTTTAGCACCGGCCAAACTGGTGGATTTGGGTTGTGCATTGACATGCAGAGAGTACTTGCCCAGTGATGGCAATGGGGGCCTGCAGCCACAGTCCTCAGGGACTGATTCTCCTGCATGTCTCTGCTATTCTTGTTTACAGAACMTTCTCAGCCAGTGGCATCACAGGACTACTCTGCCTTTTTACCATTGAACATTTAGATACACAGCTACTGAACTTCTGGGAGTCTCTTTTTCATAAAGGAACACTTCCTTTTTCAGGTTAGAAAACTGAAGATTCAGTTGGAAGAAGAACGACAGAAATACTCTAAAAGTGATATCATGAATCCAGATTTCATAGGCTTAGAGAATGGCGCTGACTTGCAGCTAATTGAAATGCAAAGTAGGTATATGGTTACTGTTAAAAATTATTCTTGCAGAGATGACTTCCAACTCCTTTTGTTCGGCAATAGTAGTATTGTGATTGACTGTATTGTTGAACAGATAGGTTTTTGTTGGTATGGAATTCCTCACTGCAGGATAGCTTAAAAATCTACCTCTTTCAGTATTGAATAACAACATTCTGGGAAGTTACTTTTCAGTTGATAACCTTACCTAGAATAGGTGCCACTACTTGAATACAGTTTTAAGACAATAGAATTTCAGCTAAGATTTTAAAAATATAAATTCTACCTAATGATTTTGTTCAGTCTTTGATAGAGAAGCTTAATCTAGAAGTCTTGAAGCAAAACATGAAAATTTATTTAACATAATATCTAGCATTGCTTCATAAAAGCATTAAACTGCTTTTCATTTCAAGCAAGCTATTTCTTCAGCTGAAAACTTACTTGTTTGACAGACTGTCATTTAGTATGCTTGTGTCAATGAACATGAACAAAGCACTGGCAATGTGAGGGCTCAAACACCAAARTAATTTGCAAAGCTCATTAGAGTTTGTCAGTCAGGTTCAAGCCTTGTGCTCCTTAATTTTCAACTATTATTACAGATGTCTAAGCTGAATGCTGCTTTTATTATGTTTATTGTGGTCTGACACATTTTGCAGTGTATTGATTATTATGTTCATTCTGTTCTCTAAGGAATTAGTTTGCTGATCTAAACACATGTTTTAAAAGGTGTGTATCTCATTGGTGCACCTGAGATTTGAGTGCACACATTTATAGAGACAGTAGTTGTGTCCTCTAGCTAAAGGAAAGTTTCCTTTCTATTGTCTTGAAGATTGGGAAATCTTTGTGATTCTGTGTATGGGCTTTTCAATAAAATGGTCTTTTAAATGAATTTTAATTAAAAGGGAAACTGCCAGTTTAGAGAATTGCTTTTACTAACATATTCATGTCAATTTTTGTCTAGGAGATGCCAACAGACAAATTAGTGAATACAAATTCAAGCTTTCAAAAGCTGAGCAAGATATAACTACTTTGGAACAAAATGTAAGTGTCTTTCTTCATGTTTGTTATTGCACTGCACACTTCTACAATACTTTTTTCAACATAAACTATGATAGCATATTTCATGATTTGATTTACTGTTTGATCTTTGTTTGCATAGAATGACACATTTTTTCTTACTTCCTGCAATTAAATATCTGTGCACAGTCTAACCATAAGAGAAAATCTACCAAGTTGCTGAACTATACCATGTTATTGACTTAAAAAATGTGATTGTTTTCATAGATTTATAACTCTCGAATTTTAGAGAGTAAAAAATGTACCTTCCACAGTGTTTACTACTTTCTTACAAGTAATTAAGGTACATAAATTGGTTTTCTTGAACTAGTATCTTTAGTTACTCTTTGTATTCTGCTTTACTACTGTATTTTTGGAAATTAACTACAAATTATTACCTAAAAATTACACGAAAGATTATAATTTAAATCACAGATGCAGATCTTTTCTCTTTTGCACAGGTTCAGTCTAGTAGCCTGTCATGTGGATTTAGGGGTAGCAAGGAGCTTTAAATAGAACAATTCAGCGTGAGTGAGTTTTAACATCTGCAGGTTGCATTCAGGATTTGTCTCAAACCATCTCTTTACTACTGAACTCTGTGCTAGGGCTCAAGATTCCTTTCATCATGTCCTGATAACAATTCAGACTCCCTTCTACTTTGCATCTTTTCACATGGTTTCTGCTTTTCAACCTTCCACTTTCATTTTTAATCCCATGTGTTTCCCACTTCTTGATTTTTCATATTCTAACTCCTCTCTCTCTGCTTAGTTCTTTAACCTTCTGTATCATCTCAGCTGTGTCCTGGGAAGAACAGCTGGTGGCAGGTGAGGCCCAGGTGGAACACCTGAGTATTTGTTCCTTTTGTCTTGTTTGGGTTTACAGATTGGACGACTTGAGGGGCAAGTTGCAAGGTATAAAAATGCAGCAGAAAATGCAGAAAAAGTAGAAGATGAACTTAAAGCTGAAAAAAGGAAGCTTCAGCGAGAGGTAACTGACTTGGTTTCCTTTCTAGTGGATTGTCCCTTTCAGTCTTGAGCAGCTCTGTCTTTTGCCTTCAATATAACTTTTTTTTGTAATCTTTAATTACAGCTTTTAAGTGTTTTTTGAGATGTCATTCAAGTCTCAGTGTTAGATTCAGAAGACATCTGGCACATCAAAGTAATACTAACTATATTTCAATGCTGTACTTCCTTGAAAGGAGCCATCTAAGTGGTATTTTTTCTAAATGTGATAACTTGTAATATATTAAAATAATCCTTCTACAAAAATGGCTAGAGAGATGAATTGTCCCTATGTCAAGTGACAGGTTGGGAATTGCACTTCACAGGATTCTGGGAAGAAACTTTATCTAATTGAGTTGTTGATCATTCTTGATTAAAAGCTGCTGCATCCCTAGCATGATGCCCGCTACCTATGATGGGAGTACATGTCTGTATGCAAGTAATAATGGTGGAGAGTACCTATTTCTAGGTAAATTGTTTTCATGTAATGGGAGGTTGCAGGCACCTAGTTCTATTGGAATTAATACGCTTCATGTTTCAGTTGCTTCACAATTAATTTTAACAGTTTAATTCTGTTTCATCTGCCTGCAATAATGAAAGTGTTGTATCTTAACTTCTGTGGCACTCTTAGGAAACATACAATACTTGTATTCGTTTGCAAATCTTGAGAACAGCACGAGGTCCAAATAAATTAAAGTGATCATAATTTTTTTCATTTTATAGTTAAGAACAGCACTCGATAAGATAGAAGAGATGGAGATGACCAATAGCCATTTAATGAAAAGGCTGGAGAAGATGAAAGCAAATAGGACTGCGCTTTTATCTCAACAGTGAAATGGAAATTGAAAATACAATGCACTGCTCCTTGAATAACTAGTCCCTAGCTTGTTTATAAATACAGACTTCCATTGGCACAAACTGTATGAACACTGAGCTGTTCACTGGTGGTTTAGTTTCATAATTGACATACTTTTTGTAATTTATGAGAGAATGAAATATAGTTTGAATTCCTATGTGAATGACAGCAATTTTTCAGTAGTGTTTGATTCTAGAGTCAAAGGTAAAGCACAATGCTGTATGTTTTTACAACTGTGGAATCAAGTTTACTCGTGATCTCTTTTGGCTGCTTTAATGATGCTTGATGCTCAGCATGAATTCAGGACAGCTGCATGAATTCAAGACACTGTATTATGAAACTAACATATACTTGCTTAAGACATCACACAGCACAAGTGCCTTTTATCTGGTGCAATTTAGACTTCATTGTTGAAATAACCTTTGAAACCAAATAGCGTTTTATTTTAAGATACATTTGGTGTATTCCCTAATCTTTATACATTTTGAAAATACATTTTTTAAATATTTAAATTTATAAGAAGAAATAGGGACTGTATATAAAGATCTGCTTCTTTTGCAGGAACACATCTGACTTCTACATAATTTTGGCAAATACTAGCCCCTGATGCTCTTAGTATTAAGAGTGTGGATTTAAAAACTGAGATTGTTCACCATCAAATTATATGTCATCTGCTAAGTCCAAATTGAAATTTTATGGTGCAAGGAAAGGGGTGAGAAATGTGGCTAAGGAGTTTATTAAATGGACACTTTACTGACCAAAACTGGATGTTTTGTGTTTTCTTTTGAATACTGAGATGCTAACAAGACTGAGCAAAATCTGTAGAATAGTAAAATCTGATCTTCATATTCTTAACAAGTATCTTTTTGCCTTTGAAAGAGTGTGTTTGAATTTTTTTTCTTAACCTCATCTGCTACTGTTTTACAGTACTGCTATGGAGCAGGGAAGCTGCACAAGGAACAAGGTGTTTTCTGGAATGGTGTGGTTTTTGTCTGGAGCATACGCTCTGTAGACAGTGAATACTATTCAGATCTTCGATTATTCAAGGTGGCACATCACAAATAGAAAATCAGTAGCTCCTGCAGTGGTAATTCTGAAGTGTTTGAAGCRGCACTGCTTCTGTGTTGAACATTCCTTGAGGCCAGCAGGAGCCTTGGTCTGAGAGAAATAATTCTTTTGAACTTGTATCAGGTGCTTTCCTCTTGGAAATTGCTGATTTTTGGGAGTATTTCTGAAAGCAAGCAGGTTTCAGGACCTTGGCAATCCAGAGGGTTAGGACCTCTGCTTGACCAGATCCGTTTTCAAAGAATAGCCATTTTGACAGTGTAAAGCTAAAGATTTCTGTCTCTGGATGTCTCCTGGACTTGGATAATAAAATTTCTTCTCTGATGAGATACCTTGTAAGTAGCAGATCTAATTAGGCCTGCTTCTTAAATAGGAGACAATTACAGTTTGGTGATTACTTTATCTGTGCTGTTAACTCTTTGTCTTTTGTTGGGTACTTATTCAGGATTCTTGATTAGTTCTTWGTGGTCAGCATTCCAAAGATAAACGGATACTTTGGAGATTTTCATTGCATTTGTTTACAAAACTCTGATAAAACCTTATTTGGCATGTGGTAGGGCAGCTATCTCCTCATTCACTTCCTCTAAACCACCCCATTGAAGCTGGATATTTTATGGCACAGGGAAATCTGTAGTTTCAATGTTAAACCATGCCAGTCAGATAAGGACTTTTTCTGAGGTAAAGCATCAGTACATTCTTCCTTTAAATCAAGATTTCTAGTGTTTTTTTTAAAGAAAAATTAAGAGTTCTATTAGCATGGGCATGTTAATTGAAGAGATTCCAAAGTTCTTGCTACCAGAAAATTAAAGCAAATTTAATAAAATATCTAGACCAAGATTCCCAATTGGAGGTATCAGGAAAAGCAGTAGCAAGGGGAAAAAAAAGACATGGTTATTTTGTCTTGATACAAGTATAAACATGAAACAAATATTGTAAGTAATACTGAATGACAATTGGATAGCAATATAGAAAGCTTTTTTAAAAATTATATTTACCAAAGCACAGTTTATTTAATGAGAACCAGAGAACCAAGGAGTCTGTGACAGACAAGTGCACAGAACATGACGAGAGCAGTATTGCTGGAGACCACTTATTACTTGTTGAGCAAATAAAAAACAAGCACTAGGTGTAATTATGGAAAGCTTGTAGAAAAAATTACTATATTTGGTCAGTTCAGCTGGGGTTTGGTTGAGAAAAAAGTCTAAGTTGTGTTTAATTATATTGCTCAGATAACTTAATAGATGATTGCAAGGGGACAGGGACGATTGTTAGTGCCTCTTGCATGCAGGGTTATATGAAATTACTGCACACAAAAAAGCACGAGGTTAGTAGAAAGTAGACATAAAGATAACTAACATGGCATAATACCATTTTTTATTTGAGGGCTTGTTTTTTTAACACCCAGCGTGGTTTGTCCTTCCCTCAAGTTTATGGGGTTTTGTTTGGTCTGTGGAGGGTTGTTAAGGCTGGATGGAAAGACTTGGTGAATGTGTTGTTAGGGGACAGAGAGCAGCAACAGAAAGATATGTCTGCATTGCAGTTCAGGGTCACTGAAGTAGCTACTGCAGTTTGAAACAGCAGGAGCTCTTTCAGTTTGCTTAACCCCGTCCCAATTCCAGTAAAGCCAGTGCATAAAGGACACAAAAAGATTAACCTGGAGGAAGGGGATCAAAAGCTTGGAAAGGGATGAAAGAAATACTTGGATTATAAAAAAGTTTTAATTTTGACAGCAAATAAACACCCCATCACCACCACCAAATTGACAGGCTGAATGATGTTGTTTTGCTGTGATGAGGTGCTTGGTACTCTGGGGAGACAAACTAGAAAATGGTCAGTTGATGAAGGCTCCTGTCCAGCCTTCACCATTCACAGTGCCTGGCCATGCTCTTGGTGTGCTCAGAGCTGCCCCCAAACCTCCCAATCAGTTTTCCATTCTGAAAGAAAGCAGGATGGCAGGACTTGTGCCACCTCCTCCAATTAACCATGGGAGATCAATCTCCTCATAGCTGCAAGGGTCAGGGGGAGAACACGTGCCTGCTGTTTTCCACTACCATGTCCTACGTGCTACCATACTGTGAGGCAAGGTATTTACCTTCAAAGACCTGCTGCTGGAAGAGGAGCTGATCCCTGATGATGTCCTCATCCATCTTAAAGGAGATGTACCTGCAGGCAATGGCCAGGATGACACTGGCAGTGGATCCACTCTGCAGACAGTCACAACACTTCCCAGTGCAGTCCAGGCATCAGCTAGAATCTTCCTTTAAAAAACAAATACAAATACAAATACGTGAAAGCAAATTAAATAAAAGGTAAAATGTTATAATTGTATCACAGGCCTGAGGAAGACTTGACCATACCTGCAAGGAACAAACCTCCCCACAGGTAGGGAAAAAACCTTGCCTTTGCCTCTCCCAGCCCTTCCACAAGACCTGCAAAGCAAACCTGCTGGTTCATGGATTTAGAACTCCTGCCTCTGCTACCCTCAGGGATAGATAGAGATATTCCCCTCACTCCATACTATGCCAGGGTGGGTGGTAGCAGCTGTCAGCAAGGCCAGGAACCAGCTCCCCTTCTACAATATCCATGCCCTCCCCCACCAAAAAAAAAAAAAACTTGGCTGAAAAATTAATCCTGCCCTRCCACAGTAAAGCAGGGAACCTCCAGTCCCCAACCAGGATGGACTATGCTATGCCTGGGACCAGGAGCATTCCCCCTCTCACCATGTGTAGAGTTACCTTGATTTCAGCTGGGTGTAGTGTCCTTGAGGAAGGTGCTGCAATCATAGTCAATCAGCTTTGCCCTGCTGTTTRCCAAGCCGAGGATGGCTATGCTGCAGGATGCCACAAATATGCAGGGAGCCCATGGTGCCATGGGTCTGCAGTAGGGATGTTGGCCCTTTTCCTATCAGTAGAAACTTCTGTACCGACTGCCACTGCTTCCCAAATATGATGGAGAATGCTTAGCCACTTCGGCAACTTCCCCCAGGACCGGCAGAAGACTCTGATCCCTACTCTCAGCTACAGTTGCAGGGAAAGACTCTGGTTTTCTTGGCTTCTTAATGCCATGAGATGTGTAGAGCTGTTACTTGCTGGGTGCTGCTGTGCAGGAGGGTGGATCTTTGCTGTCTCCTGGGTCAGGTGAATGTCCTACAGCCAAGAGTGGTTTAAAAGTACTTCCTATGATGGCCTGTCCAAAGGATACATGGATAAACACCATTTGACAAGGTGCTGGCACTCTGGGGAGAGAAACCAAAAAACTGCTTGTCAATGATCCCCTCTTTTTAAGGGTCTGCAGTGCCAGTCAGAGMTGTGCCCAAACCTCCCAATCAGTTCTCTGTTTTAGAGAGCAAGATGGTAGAACATGTGCCAGCTCCTCCAGCTAACCTTAGGACATCAGTCTCCTCCATTGTTGCAAAACCAGGATGGTCGTATTGCCACCTGTAATTTCCCAACACTGTTTTTTCTCCTGTGATGCAAAGCTGGGTACCAGCTCTAGGCACCCATGGTGGGAAGAAGATAATGGCCCAGACTGATGTTCTTATCTCTGTTGAAGGGATGGAATCCATAGACCATGTCATAGAGCAGAATGCCCTGAGACCAAATCATCACTGGATGTCCATGGTAGTAATGGAAGCTTATCCTCTTTGGTGGGCTGTACACCTGCTTTCCTGTGGAATACATATGGAGCTCACCAGGTGCATGTTCCCCTCACCTAGCAGCCCTGAAGATGAGGGGACTGCACTGGTGCCACACAGTGTGACTTGCTGCCTTCTTGCCAGCCCCTGATTCATTGACGAACTTTGGGTTCTAAAAGAAACCCACTGACACTGAAAGAGGGCATAGTGAGTCCTGTGAAGGCCCAACCATTACATTCAAGGAAAACACCCATGCAGGACCAGGGAAAACACTACCTTATATCTGGCCCCGATCCTGCATTGGTCAAGAAAAATACTACAGGCCAAGGCAGAAGAGGGGGTTTGGGCACTGCAAGCCCTTCCATGCCTGCAAATGAAAGCAGCCGGCACAAAGGTTTTGCAAACCCAGCTCTGCTATCCTCCATGAGTTGTTTTTGTTGGGCTGGTTCTCCCCACACCAGTCCTAGCTGGCTCCCATCCACAAAATCCATGCCCACCCACTCTCCATGAAAAAAAGCAACTTGAATTATTCCCATCCCAGCAAAGGGGAAAACCTTTGGTGTCTGACTAGGCACCAGTATGGGCTCATCTGAAAACTAGGTGTACAGCATGTCTTTTCAATACGTGCTGCAACTGAAGTTGATCAGCTTCACCTCACCAGTGGCCAGGTCAAGGATGATGTTCTTGGCCTTGACGCAGTGCAGGACCCTGTGGCTGGTGTGGGGAGAGCCATTAGCATTACAAGACTACAGTTCCCAGTATCTTCTTCCCAGCCCTTGTAGACGGGCATCACATTTGCCAGCTTCCTGTCACCTGGGACCTCCCCAGTTAGCCAAGACTTCTATAAATGATTGAAAGTGGCTTGGTGAGCTCTTCCACCAGCTTCCTCAGAACACTTGATTGGATTTCATCTGTCTCTATAGACTCATGAATATCTAAGTGGCATAGCAGGTCGCTGACCATTCCTTCTTGGATTATGGGAGCCTCATTATGTTCCTGACCTGCGTCTGTTCCTGTCTTCCAGCTCAAGGGGCAGGGTACTTGGAGGACAATGTGTCTTGCTATTAAAGACTGAAGGAAGGATTAACTATCTCATCCTTTGTAACTATGTTCCCTCCCACATCCAATAAG